CAAATGTGACCACCGGCTCTTTGCAGCCTGGCAGGAATTTTGAGGGGGGAAAGTGTGCGCACGGGGGAGGGGGGGGGGGGCTTTCCCAGTTTCCTGCATTTCGTTATCAAAGTAGGCTACAGTTGAATGGCAAGTGGTTAAACTTCTAGTAAATACTTTCCTTTGGCAAGATCCCACAGAATATAAAAAGGTCTATCTGAAATATTATTTGCCGTTTGACAGAGGTTTCAAAGTTTGCATAATGTACGTACACGGATGAGAGAAGTGTTGCATCTTCTATCTCACTCTTTGTCAGCTTTGCCTCTCTTCTTCATTAAAAAAACAGCTTTACTATTCTGTGTATAGTTAAGGATTTAAAAAATAAGAAAGGGGATGGAGCGACTGGTGGGGAGGTGGCGACGGGTTGAGGTGAGAGGTGGGGTTCAGGTAATGGCGATCTTAGTGGGAGCTGCAAATGCTTATTGCCTTAAAAGTTGCATATTTTCTAAACGCAGATTTACCACAGGCTTTTACTAGAGAGAGGGGCATCCTACCCACGTACTGGGTTGCTGAAAGGTTGAACAAAACAATATTTTCTCAGAATGTAATGACTTTAATATCCACGTGAATATAACAATATTGAAAAACATGTACCTGTCCGCATCATTCCTCTGTAACCTCGATCGGGTCTTCGACAACCCTGCGGCACAAGAAAACAACCAGAACTTTGGATTAAATAAGGAATTAGGAATCATCTTTTAATAATATATGCATGCAATGACATGTCTTTAAAATATGTATTGGTATGCGAAATGACATATTTTTATGTGATGTTGGTGTAGCTCTGAAGAATTGTATGAATTGAGTTTGCCAGTGCAACCAAATTTTCTCCGAAAGAGAGCTAATAACTTTGATAAGAGGTATTCTATTATTCAACTGTTCTCTTTATTCTAAAAGCATGTTGGGTTTTTTTCAACTTAGGCCTACTGTTGTGACGTTTTGCATTTACACATGCTAGGGAAAAAACCCAATGTCCCGTTATGGGCAGCCAGATCAGAATGTTTGTGCATCGTTTTAAGTTTCTTCATAAAGCATTTACCTTATTTGGATGCGGATGTTGTGTTTATCTCTACCTGTATATTATTGTGAAGCCACCATGATAACACGGATATCTTCATTTTAACTTTACCCCGATTTCAAAAGTTTAAATACTTTGAAATAAAATTTGAGATGATTTGTTGATAAAATGTTTGTAAGCACGTTTGCACAAGATTGCCAAGTTAAACCATTTAAAATCTTTGAAAATCAAGCACTGTTTTCAGTGTATTCATGTGAATTATATTAACAACAACAACAACAAATTGTTTTCCAATGAATTTTTTTTCAAAAATTTTAATCTGTGTGCAGTGTTATAGCATTATTTTAACAGAAACGGTCGAACGATCCCTCAACGAAGTAAAATACAAACCTAACAACACTTATTCCAACATGTTGTCGTTTGAACACAGCCGATGCATCTGAGGCTGATTTTGCTGTTGCATTTACTTTGGTTCATATTTTACAAACAATATTAATTTTGACGTCTGCTACATTATTTCATCATAAAAAGTATTTTATTATGTGATGATTTCTTACGTGATTTCTACTTCTTCCTCACAAAATACGCGGAACAGAAACTCTGCCTGTGTGTCTGGCCGTATAAAACAGGGGACTATCACTCTGTCGTTGGGACCCATGAGAAAATGGGCAGTCCTCGACCTGTGGATAAACAAACAAAAGAAAAAAAAGTAAGCCCCACTTTAGTCGGCAAGTCGGCTTGCTGATGGCCATGTTTCGCCAAGAACCTGATTAAGATTGAATTTTGCTTATGTTAAGACCCAAAGGATCAGAACATGTCAAAGGATGATTACTCTGACAAATGCCTGTAGAAGGCACAATGTGTGCACCGACATGTACATGATTTGACTTTTATATCAGTTCAGATAACGTCCCCTCTCTGTTTTGAAGAAATAACGGTACCAAAGCTACAACTGTACACGTTGGTTATAAAAATTGCACACACAAGTAGAGGTGTATTGTGTCGGAACCATCGAAGTAGCACTTAAAAGAAAACGGAAGCAGACCTAGTACATCACACTAGCTCAGCCTTCGATAGCTCAGTTGATATCATGTTGGACTATGGAGTGGATGGCCCTGGTTCAAATGCCAGACTGGACGTGCTTGAAGTCGAATAGTTTTGTGGAGTTTTCAAGTCTGTCAACTCATTTTACTCGGTCCTATCTGAGATGGACGTTAAATTCGGAGGTCCCGCCTCTTAAATAAGATAATAGTGTTGATATGCTCACCCAATAATGTTGCTGTAATAATTACAGTTTCTACAAGTCATGGATATCTTGCAGTTTGGGAATATACTCACACGAAGGGCTTGGCGCGCCCAGAACTCTCGTCACAACAAGGATGAATCTCACAGGAGTGCTCTGGCTTGATGCGATGGACTTGTTTTCCTTTTTCACGCTGCGGAAACACAACATATCAGTTGCTCCTTTTATTTATTGTTCATTGAAATGAATAGTTCTTCAAGGATGGACTGGGAGATTAATCTCCCTTACAGAAGTTTGGGGTTCAAATCTGAGAGGAGTCGGAGTTAACCTCGATTTTTTTGCTCTGAAGATTTCCCCAGAGCCGTGTGGTTTCTAAATGCAAGAATGAGTTCTTCGCCCTAATAAAACCCTAAGTTGTGTATAGGACGCCGTCTTAAACAGTTAGCACATTCCCAAACACACGGCTTAAGTTCTATTCCCATAGTGGATTCATGACCCAGAGATGTCAATATTTAGAAAGCAAAAGGAAGGGAAGAAGAAACAAAATGTGAACTTAATGTAAACTTCACATATTTTGAGCTTCACCTTGCATTAGTATTATAGTGAGATCATTTGCAGGGTATCTCCCACTTCATATAACAAGACGGTGGCAGAAGCAGTTAAGACCGCATTAATTTGGTTAATTTGAGAAAAGATCAGGCAGCACATCGACATGGGAAAACAGACTGAAACCTCAAAAAAAAAAAAGCAAAACCTTCCATAAGAATCCCCAAGCCACCCACATGTACATCTATAGACTAGTCAATTTTGAACAACCTGCTAGACCGTAATGAGGTTGGTCCCAATGACAGAGCACTTTGTCCTGTTCCAGGAGACTAGGGTAAGAGGTATAAAACATTTAACGAAGAACGAGAATTTGTCGGACTGTTCTCGGCACCTAAGCATACATTTTAAAGTATTTATCAAGTTTTTCAAATATCTTATGCTATCTTGTACAACGAGACGAACAATGTTAGCTTGCTAAAAAATCAGCTCAGCTCTAATTTGTGGACGAAGAGTATAGTAATTTTTTTTTTCAAAATTTGTGTCCGATCCTTTTTAGAATGTACTAATAGTATTATAGTTATAGCTTTAACTTTTCCCTCTTCCATTGACTCTCTCACCGTCTGTCAGCAAGCCTGTCTTCTTCCTTTTCCTCACCTTTAGAAATATTGGGTCTGGTGCGTGCTCTTCGCAAACGGCCCTGGAATTACTCTCCACCAGTGACACCACCACATACGTCGGCGTCTTGGCTTCCGGTAACCTCAGTTCCAACTGAGGGTTGGACCACTTTCTCTTGCCTTTCGCCTTTGACCTCTTGGGAGGTGGCTTACCCGGACTCCCCCCGTGTTTGTGCCCGCCTTTAGAGGAGCCTTTGTAATTGCGAGTCCCTTCAAGTTCTTTCATGCGCCATGGAGTTCGGTGCTGAATAGAAAAATATTTGCATTACATCTTTGTATTTAAACATACCATTATATGCCAAGAGCACATTCAAAGCAATGTGTTCTATTAAGTATGCTTCGGTTTCTGTTAGAATGGTGTCAAGTGGTTTGAGATGATCTTCTCAAAAGTACTAGTTAAAGAATATATTTTGAGGATTTAAGCACGACTTGTTTTGCTCTGAATGCTAAATTTATTTATTTATTTATTTACTGCAAAGGGGCTGTTATGGAACAGGAAGTTTAAGCATATTTGCTCAAAATTTTCGTTAATCAGATATAGAAATGGCATTCGACTTTCTTTTAAAAAATATTTTTAAGATGTCTAAAAAAAAACCCGGCTACAAAACCTAAATATAGTGCACAATAGAAAGAGCAAAACATTATAATATTGTCGCTCACCAAGTTCGCAGCCAAAGCTGTAGTGATCTCATCAGAGTTCAGATGGGCAATTGCCACTCCTGTAAAGTTTCCCATAAAATCTTCAAGGCTCATCCTAAAGGAAAGAAATGTTGACTTTGATTTTTAAAAATGGAGTAGTCACCGACGTCTAAAGAATCTAAAAGTCATTTCATCGTGTATTTCTGTCTGTGTGTAGGAATATTTTATCCCATTTAGTCTTGGTCAGTCCTCAAAGGTAGGATAAAAGCTGCCCGCCCCCAACATTTTTCACTTTGTTTCAGTAGAACCGCAAAACATCTACAATTATTTAAACAATCATGTTATTATGAAGCAGTTCTAATTGTCCTTGTCTTGAAAACATACAATACAGTCCCTCATTCTCCCAGATAAGATATCCCTCTCACAAAATTATAATATGCCTGAACATTTTTCATAAAGAAATTTTAAAGCATTGAAGTATTACGAATTGTGTATCCTTCCATCTACAAAATTTGCATCACCAAAGAAGAAGATGCTTCGATTCTCCTTGTCAGAACCAACCGGGATTGAGTTGTACCCAGCACCCTCTCCCCTCCCCCCACTCCCACCCCCTCCCCAACCAGACTTAGGAGATACTCAACATTCAACTTCCACTCGTGGGAATCGAAAACATATCTTCTATGTGAAACAACGAAGGATTAACAGGTACACTACACACGACAGTAGATTATACACGAATACAGTGTTATGTTCACGAACATGCACTTACTTATCACGTTACCGTCACACACTATACAGTATTTTTTTTTTTTTGGAATGCTTTTACTCGTCATTCTAAGACAGCACCCTACTGGCTGTAAGAGGCAAGTAACATCCCAAGAGCATCACGACAACCGCATTAGTTATCAGCATTGATGAACCTTGACTTTCTCAGTTCGCCGAATTCGCTAACGTTATTGAAGACTGTACACTAAACAACAAAGTGGGTCAGGGTATACTGTGGTCACTAAATTGCGATGCGGTATTCTCTTAGAGATTTTTTAAAGTCTATGGGCTTATTTGGTTTACCTACCCATTGAGTATTACAAAAGAAAGAAAACGAAATATAGGCATGGATTAAAGTTATAACATTTGTCCTTTCGATAATTTCTCAGTGTTAAAGTGTGGAAAGGAAAAGTCGAAGGCTCATCAGGCTAGACCACATCGTAATATTTCAAAAGCTATCTTCATAGTAGAAACGAAGATGAACTTAATCAAGGAGGCGAAACGAGGCAAGCAATGTTGACATTGCGGTACGAAGGCATAGAATATTACAACAGACGAACTTGAAAGTGAAGATGACCGATATGAATGGACGAGGCAGAAGAAGTAATGTTGCGTGGGAGGATAAAGATAGCATTTCCTTTTTTTCTATAAAAAAAGAAGAAAATCAGGGCAAAGCATAATTATGTTATATCACCGTTATTCAAGATTCTCTTATATTTTAATTCCAAGTCAGCAACAATGATGATGACGATGAAGATGATGATGATGATGATGATGATGATGATGATGATGATGATGATGATGATGATGATGATGATGATGATGATGATGATGATGGAGATGTTGCCTATATGATAACGTACCAGAATTCTCCGTCATCCCGAACACGGAAGTTGCGGTTCCTGTCAGGGCCAATAATAGTGTGCCACTCTGGGGAACTGCAGGAGAAATCATGATAGACCGTTCGGTTAATCGTGGTCTCTTTGTAGAAATATTTCCTAGCAACCACCTGTTTGAATTTAACCAGATTTCGACTGATGTTTTTGTGCACACAAGAAATTATAAAGTGCTTTATGGTTAATTAACGAGCAGCTAATTAATATCACTTTCCTATTAATACACCTTAATATTTAAGGTGGGTCTGTTCATTTCTCAAACATGAACATAATATAAGTGCATTCAGAGGAGTATTTAATTAATCAAGTATTATTGTATTTGAGTGAACAATCTTGTTTGAAACCGTAAATAGCTGTGTTCTAGGGTGAATTTTATTCCATGCTCGCGAGTTGAGCAGTACAGTGGGGGGTGGGGGAGGGAGCACTGAAGACACTACGGCTGTTTTAAAGTGCAAGAAGTTTAAGGCCGCGTGTCGATCAGAACGGAAATGACACGATTTTTTTGTCGTGAGGATGCAATTTTGTTTTGTACGTCACCGGCGTGCATGTCCACCAACGTGTGAGAAGCTCTGAGGACAATGTGTTATTTCTCAGTATTGGGCTATGGTTAAGAAGTCAACGAATACAGAAATAAGAAATGAATACTGCCCTCTGTGATTGCTGTTCTCCAACTTGATGTGTCAGAAGCTAGGCTCTCGCATGTCAAGGGATTAATAATGGAGACATTTTCATGGTGTTTACAGAACGCTTTTTGGGTGCGGTAACTTAACACAATTACATTGTAACATTAAATAATTACAGGTGATGAGGAAAGTAAGAGAATACAGTCATGCCTACCCATCACTCCAAGGACCGTTCCACTCTCCAAAGCCCCAAGGATTTCGTACATGAAGCAGAGTCCTTAGACCATTTGTAGTATCCACCTGCAAAAGTCAGAAGCACAACTGGTTTCAGTTTTGAGAATGTGTATCGGTCCAATGTCACCTAGACACACATTTATATTATTATGTAAGTATATAGTATAGTGTGTGTATGTATATCGTTCAGAAAAGAGCGAGATACTGGATAATCACCCCACATGGGAATCTAACTCAGGTCTTCTGTGTGTGACGGTGAAGCCCCCTGACTACTACACCAAAATCGCATAATATAATGTCATAGTATTCAAAAGGAAACCAGCAGCAACAGGTCCTGCGGCCAGGGAAAAACCTACGTACAGAACACTGTCTGATTTATAGTCATCTACCTCTTGCTTCAACTTGCCTCATTCATTTTAAAAGACACACGGAAATTTGAAGTTGTGACGGCACTTTCCTAATTCCTGTTTCTTCAAGGTCACATAAAAGTAACTACGAGGGGGGAGGGGGGGTCAAAAAGTAATGCCAGTTGTAATGCTCACAAGTATTTGGTGATGTACTTTTGAACTCAAAGTGTTAAAATGTATCGAATGACGTCACATCAAAATGGCCAGCCTCTTGGAGGTCTGTCAGAGGTTAAAGAGCAGTGATTGAATTTCTTGTTTTAGAAGAAGAATCCACCGGTAACATCCAAAAGAGACTTCAAAATGTTTTAGGACCAAGCTCTTGATTTTGGCACTGTATATAGGTGGGTCAGACGTTTGAGCAATGAATTGGAAGAAGAGGAAGAAATGTCCATAAATAATATTATGCTTGTCTGACAAGCTTAAGTTCTAATTCGCCAAGGGCTTACCTGAATAACATCTATGATACTGTAGGCGTGACCAGCATAAAGACCAGTGGGGAGTTCAATTTCTTGAGGTGACATGTTCTTCTCTTTCTGTAGGCGCATAAAGAACACCATAAACACACAGATAAAATGTTTTAAGGGAGAGCTTGAACAGATTGGGAGGAGGGGGGTGGGGGGAGCGGGAAAAGACCAGGATGGCTAAAGAAATACGTTTTTTGAGAGCATCTGAGCAGCGGAGTAAGTCGCGAACTATGATGAGCGCCGATGTGCGTTTTAGAATCGGCACTAGCGAAAGAAGAAGAAGAAGAAGAAGAAGAAGAAGAAGAAGAAGAAGAAGAAGAAGAGG